AAAGGTAAACAGTTGAACCCCTTTATAGTGGCATGCTTCGGGCAGCAATTTTCGTCTATTATAGGAGATGTGTCTTATAAACAGGGTACCACGTATTCATTTTCTTATTCACCCATATTTTACTGTATGCACATTGGTATCTCTTATACACATCTATCTCTTACATTAGTGTCTCTTATAAAGGAGTTTGACTGTATTACTAGCGCTATATTTATTGCAAGACTATTTTTCATTTATTTCGTTATACCCGAGTTTTGCTATATTGAGGTTTGAGTGTACTGGTGACAAGGTGCCAACAACAGGTTAGCAAGGTGTGACTTGAGTGATGGTCGTAAGTAGGACTCACCTTTGATGACCTGCAGCGGTTCATCAGGTCGATGTATTGATTACGACCTATGCCAAGCAATCTCAAGCCTGTAATGTCAAGCAGTTCACTTAACGTGTGTGGCTGTGAACAATCTGTCAAGGGCACTAGATGGACATGCTGAACTAAGCTACAGCGCACTGTAAGTTAATGGACTAGCAAGCACTGACTTGAACTTACATACCCACTGCGGTAGTCAAGCAATATGCTAAGCATGAGTGAGGGTGTGACTCCCATTCGCTGCCACGCCGCCATTTTTTTTGATACCGATAAAACACAAAACTTCCTCCATTCACTCACATTTACATGCGTTCTAAAGAGCCCCAGCTGATTATAATAATTAGTTAACCACCACTCCTTTGTGTACCTCATGGACACTAGTGTGACTCATAATTGTCAACTCCACTATCTAATTTAATTTTGCCACTTTTCCATTGATTCAACACCCTCTCATGACGAACTTCATGTTGCAATTCATTTTTCTTAATAACGTTCTTTTTATGTGAATAGGAAGGAGCTTATGTTGCCATGTTAGCATTTTTTTTTTGTGTCGCGTGACTTCACGTTTTCTGCAGCGTAATGAATCGTTAGCACCACCCATTGGTCAGCGAAATTACTCACGAGTCGGCTCACTCACACTCAGATCGGGTGGTGCGTGTGAGTTTGAGTGAGTCCAGTTGAGGCAAATTTTTCGCGAGTCCGAAAGCGAGGGTGTCCGGTTGAAGTATGTAAATATTGGCGAGTCTGAGTTTGAGTGAGCTCTCAGTGCAACGTATGTGTCGTGAGTGAGCCAGAGCGAACTCCACCACTCATTGCCGACCTATGGCATCCACTCGACCAATATTGCTGTATAAGCACTGATACCACAGACAGTCCACCATAAATGGTACTATCGATGCTTCGGAAATCACTTGACTACTGATAATACTGAAAGTAGCAGCGAAAGTTATGTATGTCCATTAGGAACAAGTCACATCAGAACAAGAGATTTAAAGTAGCGTAACCGGCAGCACGACTTCACATAAAATTACACGCGAACACTACAAAGGTTCCCGCGGCAAATGAGGTGGTGACATGTTCACCCCATTAATATAGCTCATCTCACTGCCCTTTGTACATAACATTAGTGATCACATGGCGGTTTCCCCCCAGTAATTAAGACCGTTGCAGACAGAGAAAAAGAAGAAAAATGCAGCCACTTACAATCGGCAGCAGTAAAATTTGGCAATGAGTCATAGCTTCTTTCCTGCTCCATTAGATCCTGTAATGCGAAGATTACAAATGCAGTATCAAGTATACATCTCAGCACCGGTAGGCACTGCAGACAAACATCTTTTCGAGTTGTCTCCGATTACCCCCGTTTTGAGCTGTCTGGTGTTCAAGTTATGTCCCAAAAACTTCATAGCCTTCTCACTTTCGTTCATTAACATACCAAGATCAGTATTAAAAACTGAGGAACTATTTTCACGAGCGAGATAGAGTTTCTGCATGTAGGTTACTTAATTAGCTTCGTATCTACAGCAAATATCACCTTTGATTGGCCACATCAGAGCACACGGGCAGCGCTACAAAGGTAATGTAGAACAGCAAGCTCAATTTTAGTGAAAATAAGTTCTAAAGGCTAGATTATTACTGTTCTGTTGCTTATTACAAGCAAAGAAAGGCTCGTAAGGCTTGATTATTACTGTATTTACCTAAATGTGCCTTCTTTTGCTTTTTATCACCATTTTACTTATCACTTTTATGTTATTTCTTTAGATTGTTCTTTTTTTTCCTTGTGCTTTGTGATTCATGATGGCAATTTCCTTACGCTGTCACATTTACTACAGTTAACTTTAGTGTTCTTCTCTGGTTATGACTATCATAGGCCGCTCATCCTGATATTAGACCTTAAACAGGGTCTTCAATTACAACTACTTTAACTTCACAAGCACTGGCAGAACCATCAGTGCAATGAGTATCCCGTCAGAGCCTTTTGACATACTCTAATGACTTACCTGCATAATGGAGATGTAATACTGAAACGGGGTGATGCGCATTCTCGTGACAATGTAGTCGGACAGGTGGTACGGGTAAAGCATCAGGTGACTGCGGCTGTACTGGAGAACGCTGTCGTAGTAGGACTTTTCATCCCGGTGATACGTTCGCACTGGTGGTAAAAAGAGGCAAGGAGCAAGTGCATACCGAATCACTCACTGAGTCTATACATGCAGGCACCAATTCGCTAAGCAATAACCAATCACGTCTTCCCCACACGAAAAAATTTGTGTTTACATCGTCGAATGAGTCAGAACACCAACGTACAAACTGTTCAGATTAACGTACGAACTCATTAAGATTACCAGACGGCAAGGACAACAGACGTTCATAAACAGTAAATAGCACGAGCATGAAAGAATCGCACTGAACAAATAAGATGCAACTCGATGTGAACTTTGTTAAATCAGCGAAATGAAAGTCGACTGGCCAAACCCTCCCATACGGCTGGTCTCTTTCACTGCAACGCTGATGCCACACTATCAGACAGGGGAGGTCTACAATTTCAAAGGAGAGTATGGAAGCTTTCGCTCCAACAGGGTCACGGCTTATCACAGCCCTTATAAAAGCACCCCAAGCAGTTGATAAACCGAGTACGTTCTATCTGCCGTTACCATTTTGTATGGCGCAGCCTTCACAAAACAAGGGCAAATTTGCACAAGATCTATCTATCTTCCTACACTAACCAACGAGTTATAGGTGAAGTAACGCTTTACCAGATATGAGGCACCTGAAAACGGCATGCTATTTAGCAAAAAAGAGCGCAGCTTACCGAGGTTTCCACGGAAACGCAACTGGTTTTTGATGCTGTACTGGAAGACGGCCTTTTCAAACTCTTTTTCTGAATTTCCAAGCAGCTGTTTCGAAGAACATCGGAGAAGGCTAGTGAGTACACTGTCGAACTTTTCGTTTCTGAGCATGTCATTAAGTCATGAGAGCAGATTGGACTTCTTGTATTGATCATGACAGAGCACTAGCACACAATGAAGGAATGGGCTGCACAGTTGAGACATAATAACAGCGCCTGTGTCGTGTCTTCCTTCCTGATAATCAGTTTTTAATTTCGCACTGTCCCTCTGTTAATTTTGATGTTATCCCATCACAAACTTTCAGCAAAGAAACAAGAAAAAACACTGCACTATCTCAACACGAAGTCAAACTGACAGGCGCAGCTGCGTTATTCAAGCTCCAAGGCAACAGTAGAATTATAGAGTTTATTTGGACAGTCACTTACTTTTTCACGTTTTTCATTTCTTTTTTTCATTCGCGCAATTCAACTAAACGAGTGCCACTCTTGGTCCATTCTATCACCTCAATAATAATATCAGAAGCACAACGTCCCAAAACCACGATATGGTTACGACAGACGCCGTAGTAGAAATCTCCGGAAATACCGACCATCCGGTGAACTTTGACGAGCACTGACGTCGCACATCTCTATCTCCACCTCCATCTAATTGCGACCGCCACGGCCGCGATCGAACCCGCAACCTTTGGGTCAGCAGCAGAGCACCGTTACACTACGTTTCATTCAATCAGACTGCAGGGGCACAGTGCTCGTCTCTCGAACAGTTGAACAATCCTAGCATCAACCTGGATCACTTATCGTACACTTGGATCACGCGAAAGAAACTAATAAGTAAATAAGTACAAATAATTTCGATTGCGCGGCTCGACGAGAGGGCACGTGATGAACACATGTCCTCGATGCTCGCCAGGTTAGTAAGAGCAACACATAAATTGACCGGCAATAACGTTCACGGGTACGCACATAGCCTTGTTGAATTACAAACGCGTATTTACTACTGCCACCGTATTTGCAATACGTTCTCGTCTGATTTGGTGCTTCGCGGAACGTCAACAACTCCGTGGATCCGTGCATTCAGTCCTTCGTTGCACGCACGTCAGATCTTTTCTGAGCCTTAGGTTTCTATCAGCATTCATTGCGCCGTTAAAGTTTTCAGTTGGTATTCATCCGAACCACATGCTTGGAGAAGTCCCGTCAGCGAGACTGTTCAGGAGTGATAAAGATTTTTTCCTTCGCTAGTAGATGCGACGTAGTGCTCCTCGTCCACGCATTTTATTTTTTCGGGTTAGAGCGAATCGGAAAGCACGTTTTCAGTGAGCTCGAAAGAAAAGCGAAATAGATGAAGATTTGTAAGCTACAGACCATCGCACGTTAGGATACAGAGAAAGGGAATTCCCGTATGTCAGCACTGCTGGCGGCAAAGTTAAATCCGCGAAACACAGTCAAAGAAAAACGGGAATTTGAGAAAGGATCAACGAAAACAGCTGACACCGGGCTCACCCTTTTCGCGCTGTCGGGAAGCTTGCTCCAGTGACAGTTCCTGCTGATGAAACTTTCGATGTCTGCATTCATGACTACGTGGAAGGGATTAAACAGAAGAGGACCTAATACGAGGGCCCGGACGGCCCCAACATAAGGATAGGAAGGGGTGATACGCGAAAGCTGCTTCAACCACTTGCCAAGCTAAAGCAGACAAAATGCTGAGCGGCCATGTTTGTCTGATGACGCCGGCGATGCGGCTTTCGGAGGAGAGAGCGTAGTTTCGCGTTGTTTTGTTTTTTGCGACCTACACAACTTCCCCGTCGTGACATAGTTTCGCGCGGAGCTACGCGGACCTTTCAGGGACGTGCGTCAGCGGGCTTCGAAATGGATCCAGTGAGTCATTATTACGGAGCAACCCGATTTTGTTATATGATCTCGCTACCTGATGGTCGCGACGCATCCATGCAGGTCAGGTCAGAGGAGGTTTAGCTACTTTCGGTTCCTGCTTTGGGACAGCGCGCAGAAAAAAGTTCGCGCCCCGCCCCTGTGCTCGCTTCGGTTCGCTTTGGACAAACAAGTCACGTTTGGGGTTCAATACGAACTGTTTCTGCACTGCTTTCCCTCGCAATTTGTTTTTGGTTGTTTGTAGCGCATCCAGCGGAATGTTTCCACTGGGATGGATCACTGGACTCGACCGTATCTCCTGTAAATTCCTTTTAAAAGAAGCAAACTTGTTGTGAGAATCCCTGAAAAACAATTTGATTCACTCCAATGTAATTATCGCTGCACTATGAACACCAGAACCTCGCTGTTATTGTTTCGGGAAGACACAATTTTACCCATATAGATTCAAGTAATCATATTTTGTTCCCGAAGGGACACTTTACGCAGACTAAAAAAAAAAAAAAGAACAGTTTAATTATGGCTGCATAATGAGCTGTGAACGCTGAACTTGAGGAGTTATTGAAAGCATTTCGCGCCATCATTAAGCCTGTGTTATTTATTCAAAACGGGCATACTAACGTGAAAAAAAAAATGTACTATGCTAGTACAAGCTTGTAACCGAACTGCGTCGAGCTCGAACTGTGTGGGAATTTCAAAATTCACATTCATGAGACTCGTGTCGGAAATGTCACGAGTTAGGACGTTAAACCCCCATATCAATCAAAGTATTTTTGAATGCAGCTCCACGATTACGTGCGACTTATTGTCAACAACTCAACCGTGCGATAAGAGCAGTATTATACGTGTCGCTAAAGTAAATTCTCTGCTCAGTTTCCGATGGATGACGTAACACTTACAAAACCCTTGTGAGGAAATTATTATGTGGCGCGTTTTTTTTTATTGCAGTGTTATTATGACCGCGTAACAGGCCTTAAAAAGTGTTTCATACCCTATCGTGGACCCAATAAAGTTGCTTTACTCACTCACATGCCCTCATGCTCTTATGACACCCTCATGATAGAATTATATTGGTGTGCATTTTTGTATTAGGGTGCTATTATAGCTGTGTAACACCTGTAAGAAAATGTTACACATCCTCATACTTTTATAACTATCTTATGATGGAGTGATGGTGTACATATTGGTATCAGGACCGTATTCAATAATTGGAGGGGGGGGGGGGGTGTTTATGTGTACAACGGCTAACTTTGGCAACTAATAGTTGATGTGAAGGCGTGTAGATACTTCAGTACACCCCAAAAATTTAATGCACGAAAACACTGGGTAGTTGTCAGAACCCGCTTTACCGGTCCCTCCCTAGTTACCGCCCTGGTTTGTATAACAGTGTTACGTATGAACGTGAATCAATCTTCAGATGGCGCTACACATATATTATAATTATATATGTACTTGCATTAGGTCAGAACTTCGGGGAAATATGGAAGCTTGAACCATAATGATCAGCAGCATTTGGTCTTGGTGGCCGCAAATTCGCGTTAAATTTGGAATGGGTGAGGAGGGAGCTGTGGTACGTGTGAGCATGGGTGGGCGGCAAGAAACGTTCTCGCGTTATTATGACTGTTTGACACCTCTAAGAGAGTGTTACAAATTCTCATATGCTCTTATAACAAACAGCCTTAATGATAGAATTGCGCATAAATTGCACAAAGTGCCCATCATCCATCCAATGTATTCATCATCTAGGTATTTTCTTGTCCCGGAAAAATTATAACCACAACTCATATTGTGTGGCTTTACTGCTACGCTGAGCGAGCTGTCACTTTAGAAACGTATGCCTCAATTGATTCTACCCTCGTGCTCGCGCGTGGTGGAGGCGTGCAAGCAACACATGAATTTTCAAGCGTTTGGTGTCCACACTTTGGTGCACCAAGTGTACGCTTTCTAATGAAGGAGCGTACCAGTAAATGTATTCTCAAGGGGGTGTAAGATTTGAAGGGCCCCTAAACTGACATCTGAAAGAACTTCCCTGGTGCTTGCTGCCTTTTCGGCGCCGATTCGGGACGCCGGCAGTATGGTCACTGTGACGTCGTGAGGAAATAAGCTCTTGATTGGTCCACATACGAGGAATATCAGCTGTGAATTGTCTCATACACCGCTTTGCCGTACGTCCGTTCTGTCATGTTCCGCATAAGTACGGAAGCGGTCTACTGACTTCAATTGGCGCGGTTTCGACTGCGCAAGCGAAGATAACACTGTGCCGCCGAAAATCGCGAAATAGTGATATGTTCAACACTTATTGCGAACATTGTCAAAGTGCTATATGAAGAAACAAGCGACGAGGAGGTGATAGCGCCTACAGGAAGGGAAGGTATGCTATAAAGATACCGCTCTGTCCAGGCATATATCCAGAGGGTGGCACACCAAGATCCTGCCCCCCCCCCCCCTTTTTTTCCCGAATTTTTTTCCGCCAAAGCATAGAGAGCAAACGATTACTATTTCAAAGAGGCATCCCCCCCCCCCCCCGAAAAATGTTTGGCTACACCCCTGACTTTGTCGTCTGCGAACTCGGAGTGCTTTAGGGGCCTGTATTCATGAAGCAACCTTATCATCATAGGCACGCTCACACGGGGGGGGGGGGTGGGGGTGGCTTCTCCTTTAAACACCTAGGAGGGGGGACGCAAAGTGCGCCGAAGATAATGACGTAAAAGTGAAGAGAAGCGCTGGAACTGGAGGAGGGGAGTGCAAAGCCAGCCTCATACATTGACATAATAAAAAAGGAGGGAGAGGGTGCGCGCTGCGGCAAACCTTCACCCCCCCTCCCCCACGCGACGGGGAACCCCGCGCACTTCTAGCTCATCCTTATCTCGCTTTTTCATTATTGGTATCGTGCCTTTAGTGCGTTTGATAAACAAAGTGGGCCGTTATTTCCTAACCGTTTCGTCGTTGCTTTTTACACTGTTACCGTTTTTGAGAACGCACTTAGAACGCACAGAAACTTAGAGAAAACATGAGACAATGATAAGGTTGGATTGTGAGAACAATAACTGTCGTTCGTCTTGCGTGCCTCCTACACTGTGATGTAGGTGAGTTGCTCAGCTGTCACTTTTCACGGAGTGGCCCATCTCATTCTCCGTTTTCATCTGTCAACAGAGACGCGTAAGCAACGGCACTGATAAAAAAAAAAAGTAGGCACTGACAAAAACAAGTAAAGGAAAGAGAAAGGGCGCCTGCTTGTTGTTGACATTTACGGGAATCACACGACCGGGGCCTGAGCTTCACCCCGAGTCCGGAGAAAACTGTTGAGGAAGACGCATTTGCACGCCTATACCGTGGTGAGTGATTCCGCAAGTCTTCCGGAGGATTTTTGATTTAGCGACGTAATTTAAATTGCATTCAGTACGAGCTGTGCGCTACACCAACGTTTTTCTGTTCTTACACCCAGAGCCTCATAGAGCTCTAAAAAAAAAAAAAAGCTCTCTGTATCATAAAAAAGAAACTCTCGGTATCATAGCGAAAGTGACCCTCCAAGCAAGATTCAGACTGTAGTACTGCGCACGTTGCGTCCGTAAAGATTACGTTGCGTACACTGTAAACCAGTTTACAACACTCTACGATAAGAGTGTTTTGACAAACCAAAACACCTTTATCGTATAGACACGGCAGAACACCCTTAAAGGTGCCAACTGGTTTACTGGTTACGCAAGAACGACGCCTTTCAGTTAATCCTTCGTGTCCCTTCGTTGTCGTTCTGTTCTCGCGCTATAACTATCGTCATGCTAGTCAGCGTCAGTGTGATCCTGATCTTCTCTCTTGGCTCCTTGTCTGCGTGCCTTGCAATTTCTTTTCTTATGTTGTCTCCATCTGCCGCGCTCGTGTTGTATGGAAATGGGTACGTGCGATGGCGACAGGCGTAATGAAACAGGTATGCTAGCTTTCAGAACGTTAACCACACAGGGCTCTGTTAGACCCTAAATTAAGAGAAATGATATATATATATATATATATATATATATATATATATATATATATATATATATATATGAGATATAACAGACAGTAATGCCAAGGAATGTACAGGGGAAGTTATTAGAACCAATGGAATGTAAATAAGAAGAAAGAAGAAAGAAAAGTGGATGAAAAAATTACCAACTGTGAGCAGGAATCGAACCTACGACCTTCGAATTACGCGTTCGATGCTCTATATATATATATATATATATATATATATATATATATATATATATATATATATATATATATATATATATATATATATATATATATATATATATATATATATATATATATATATATTTATACTTAAGCAGTCAAGTTGCCCCGCCGCGGTGGTCTAGTGGCAAAGGTACTCGGCTGCTGACCCGCATCGCGGGTTCGAATCCCGGCTGCGGCGGCTGCATTTCCGATGGAGGCGGAAATGTTGTAGGCCCGTGTGCTCAGATTTGGGTGCACGTTAAAGAACCCCAGGTGGTCGAAATTTCCGGAGCCCTTTACTACGGCGTCTCTCATAATCATATGGTGGTTTTGGGACGTTGAACCCCACATATCAATCAATCAATCAATCAATCAAGTTTCCAACGTGGCTGGAGCTAAAGCCCGGACGTGCAACCCGCAGTGGTCTGAAAGAGCGACGCGCGTGATAGGTCAGCGTAAACCTGCAGGTAGTGGAAGCCGTGACCATCAAAACTTGTGTGCATTGCTTCTTATCATTTTGCCTGTCTATTCTAGAGTAAACGATAAGATTTGCATCTTAACATAAAAGGAATAAAAAGCAATGACTTCGCTCACACCCGTGAAACGTATATATATACACACACGCGAGCGCAAGGCACACGCATTTGCGCTTGTGTCTGCTTTTACGCGGGTTTCAGCAAGAGCACGCAGTTATCCCTTTTGTGATACGATGCACCAACTCAATCACCTAGCAACAAGTTCTTCTAAAGATGAGATTTACGTTCGACATGTTGCGT